GAAAAACTGAAGGAAGAAAGACGAGGGCAGAAAAGGCGACCGGCAAACTTATCCTGGTCAGGTCAATCCAGAACACACGTCTACGCGAAACTTTGGACGAAGTGGTACATTGCCTCGCCCGGGGGCCCCGAAGGGTCCCAACGCACTCCGGGCCGAGCTCAATCAACAAGATCCCCGTTTCCCGGACACTGGTTAAGCCGCGCGCAGCCTGGCGTGGGCGGGTAAACCAACAGGGCTCGGGATTCGTAGTGGCTTCACTAACTAAATTCCCACTAAAGCAAGTGTGGAAGCCTACATGGCTGAGGTCCGTGGTGACGAGACTCACCAAGCCCATAACACCTAAGGTGCAAGGGCCCCCTGCGCGGTTTCAGCAGACAGAGGAAAACGATGTAGTGGGCGGGAATGCCACGCCCTGGCAACGCTCTTCCTGCCTAAATCTGCAAGCAACGTGTTAAAAAAAAATCTACCCGGACTGGACGAATGCACCAAGTTTTCACATGCTAATATACCTTCACGTTTCTCCAAGAAATACGCCATATTCGAAGACTATGCTCTGTCTCGTCGTGGTGAAGAATATTACTACCGTCCTTTTTCAGTTAGAGCGTATTCATCAAACGCCATTAGTCAACGTAGCAGATATTATGTTATGCAAGGAAACTGTCTTTTGCAGTCCATACTTTGCGCAACAGTTTTTACTCGTTGGTGAACATTCGCAAGTTTTAAAAGGGTAAACTGTTCACAAACACAAAACACAAAAGTGAACCGAGGCAAGCACATTTTGCTCCGCCATAAAATTATGAAAGTAACTTGGACATACAAATTAAAATCATAACTTGGTTAGGAGAACTTCCAAATGCATGCCAAGTGCAATTGGCATAATTTATAGTTATCAATTTTTTTTTTTCAAAATCTGCCGGTGCTCAACTTTATTAAATGATTTGGTCGTGCCCTGCTGAATTGTGTTCACCTGACCACAAATATATAAGGCAGGCCGATTATGATTGAGAAAATCCTCAATGATTAATAAGACGTCTGCTTTGAAGCGTATACAACTACTTCATTACCTTTGTAATTGCTATTTTGTCACTGGGCTAATTGGGCACATTCTTTATTGCTATGCTGTTTTGACGATATGCCGTATTGACACTCTACAGTTTTAACAGTGCTTTTTGTCTGGATGCTATGCTGGTGTCGGCTAGCAAATCCTGTGTGCGCATGCTACTCCTCCTTCCTCCATTCAGCGGCCCAGAGCCCAATACAGCGGCGGAATGACCTCTGCCCAGGTCTTGGAGTTTCATAGTTGCTCCCAGTTTGCATTTTCCTTCTCACAACTTTCCTCTTCCTCATCACCTGCATCAATCACTGTTGTGAGGACGCGTTAGCAAACGTCAAGTATCGAGAAATTAGGTACAATAAGACCGCTTTGCGTAGTAATTATCTAAGGAAAGTAAGAAATGCTGAATAGAGACCGGCCGGCATCGGCTGTTTCAGAACTTCCCGCTTATTTCTGAAATACTTTCGCTGGAAAATCTCTTCAAGCATACGCCAAAGATGGCGGCAATGTCGCTTTCTGTGCAAGGTGTAAACACTGAGCACATCGCCCAACAGGCCGGTTTGAAGCACTGGCCCCCTTTCAGTGCACTCGGTTTTAGCTCTACTCACCCAAAGTCAGTCTCTTGTCTCTGAGGGCTTCGACGTTCTTCCGCCGAATATCAAATTTATGTAGAAGAAGAGAACACGTGGACACTCGCATGCGTAACGTTGGAAAGTATGAATGACCTAGTTTTGTCGTCTTCTGTTTACGGCACAACGCACAATGCTAGTGGAAGACGTTTTTAGTTAGGCAGTTTATGGGACTCGCCACACACTCTAATAAAAGGTGTAGTCTTGCATCCTTTTATCCCATATAATACACTCCGAATCTTCAGTTCAATGCACATCCCATTGACGTCGAACAGACTGCCCCAAATTTTACGGGCGGTTTGAAGACGGTGCGATATAACATAATAAACAACTAAGGCATTTATAAAATAAAAGAAACACACCTAGGATTTTTCAGTAGGGCCGAGAAAACCCTGATTAGTTTGTGCTGTCAGTAACACGTGCATTAGCTGTTTTAACAAGTTGTACCAGTCGGCTGTAAAGTCGCTCGTGAAAGTTGGCAGTGACGGTTCGACGTCAGAGCGCTGTACAGCGAACTGAAGTTTTGGGGTGGCTTATATGGGAGAAGCTGTGAGAAAAAAAACTTTGTTTCTGATAGTGTATAGTGATGACCAGCGTCACGTTTTTATTTATTTATTTATTTATTCAGAATACCACGCATCACCTTCAAAAGGCATTATTGCGAGGGAGGGGTACAAATAGATTTGAGCGAAAATACAAAAGTACAAAAAAGTACAAAAAGTACATAAAGCGCGAGGCCGAACATGAGACAATAATATCATTTGTTTTTAGTTTTATAAAACACCACTTAACACATGGTTGAAAAAAGAAGTAGCAGAAGCTGTAGCAATTAATTCCTCTGGCAGCGAATTCCAGGTGCTCGTTGTGCATAGAAAGCAGGAGTATTTAAACACATCCGTTTTACACTTATACTCTGGCACATTTTTTTGAGTGATCACGGCTTCCTGATGAGTAGTGGGCAGGCAGCATGCAGTTTGATTTGTCAATGCCGAGATAACTATGAACAATGCTGTAGTAAAATTTTAACCACATAGATAGCCTTCTCCGGAATAATGAAATTCAATCAAGTTCTATTTTTAGTTGAGTCACATTAATCCAAAGTTATAATTATAATTTTTAATATACACTTCCTGGGGAACGTTAGTCATGAAATCACAAGATTCATCTTGGGACAGGCAGTGGATTGTGAATCCACGTAGGTCTCAGTCGTCAAAATCATCTCGCAATCGCGTTCTGATGTCCTCATGTTTCAATCTTAATTCTTTATCGCTTATGTCTGTCAGTTTTTCAGGTCGCCCTGTCTTTATTGCATCGTTGTGGTGGGGGCTGTGTTTCAGGGCATTGGGCTGAAGATGAATGAAAATCGGCAGAGCGCTTCTCCAGACGGCGTCAAGGTCGATGGGGTGAACGAGATGATCGGCACCTGGTACACCTACCAAATGTTACGGAGATATGCGGCCGGCAGGAAGAAACATGGGCATGTTCACATAACGAAGCCGAATGATTTAGTGGTGTGTGGAAACACAAGCCTCTTGAGTCTAGCGCGCGATAGTGGTGCTTCATCGTCACATTATCCCCCTACTTGAAAGACGACGAACCGACCGATGAATGAAGAAAACACGAGGAAAACATGCACTTAAATACAACACAACCATATGAAGACACAGATGGACGAAGCACTGTTGTTACCTGCAGCACAATATGGGAAGATGCCGCAGTTTCATGGCCCGAAGACGCTCTAGCAGCATTACCGACCTCAGCACTAGTGAGCCCCACGACAGCACTGTCCCGGCAGGGGAACGTCTGTTAAGCGCGAAGCAGATGTACGACGAAACCTTCCGATCCGACGTGCGGACTGCCGGAATGACCTTGGGAGGCGAGGGTTTTCGTAGCATCGGAGAGCGCTGAAAACCCTCGCCTCCGACCGTCGTATTGACTGGTAGGACGTCGGATCGGACAGTTTCGTCGTACATGTGCTTCGCGCTTTATGCCGTCAAGAGTTTGTTCTGGGGTGGGGGGCGGGGATCATCACTTCTAACAGGTGTCAGTCGTCAAAATAATCATCCCGCATTCGATTTTTTCAGCAGTGGCCAAATGCTGACAATGCGTTTATTTATAATTTGACTTTGGCTTGTGAAGAAAATAAAATGACGCTTTTTAACTAGATTAACTCCGTTTCCATAAAAAGGCTTTCGCGTCCGTTAACTGTCGTACATTGTATCTTTCTGCCAACGAGACAATCTCTTCTTCCGAGGAGAGGTGCTCTCAGCAAAGTTCAGTTTAGTTCTCCGAATCTCGAATATGCGTTTTCCCACGGACTGTGAAAGGGGATTGGAGTCGAACTTGATCATCGCGGTCCCGCAAATCTTCACGCGCTGTGGATATACATGCCATTAACACATTCCGTGTGAAATCAACGCGTAGGCTGAGGCTAGACAAACAAGCTGGGCTAGCCAACACGTTCTCCAGTCATGATGTCACAATCTTAATTCTTCACCGCTTACGTTTCTCAGTTCTTCGTGTCGTGCTGTCTTCATCGTATCATTGCGGCGGGGGATGCGTGGCAGGACTGTGGGCTCGAGATCAATCAACTTCTGCGGAAACCTTCCGCAGACGTCATCCAGGTCGTTGGGTGTGAACATGATGATTGGTATCCTGCACCTCCACCACCCTGGGATATTGTGGGTGATCAATATATTTATTACACTGATTGAAGTTCGACTAAGATAGTATCTAGTGGTCCGAAGCAGCGTTGCGCCAAACAAGAGATGCAAGGGCCTCTGCCATGAAACCCCTTCTTCTTCTTTCCTAACAATATCTAATGTCACAGAAATCTACGTAGAGGAAAGAACAAGTAAAACTGTACCCATTTTATAAAGAGCTTGCTAATCTCAAGCAGCATACCATAAATTGATTATAACCGAAAATGGTTCTCTCCGCTTACGCAGATGATTGACAGAAAAAGCGCTGTCACAACATTGATGTGGTATACACTACGAACAATTCGACGTCAGGGACGATGCCTTTTCCCGTACGGTTCGCTTCCTTGCCTCTTATTGCAACCTCGGCGAGTTAGTGCTGCTCACATTAAAGCGTGAAGCATATGCCACTGCTACTCTGCTGTTGTACCCGCTTGAAGCCTCTGTCTCTAGTGGCTGCTTCGCTAGTGCTAGTAGTGCTAGTGCTAGCACTGCTTCGCTAGTGCTGCTCTTTTTTGTATGAGCTCTCTTCCTTCCGCTCTAACTCTTTCTATCCCGCTATTTTCTTGGTTCACTTGGTTCTTTAAAAGCCTTTGGCATATGCAATTTATCTTGCAGGAATCGTATCCGGGTCCTTGTGTCGTCCTGAAATTGTGGAAAAGGCGAGAACAAAGCTCAATGCCCAACGGTTCTACGTAAGTTCATTGTAATAAAGCGGTGTCTTTACTGGGGAATAGATTCCAGTGGCATACACAATAAGCAAGTCTAAAATTCTACACATACCCCTTGACCGACTTTGTTTTGTATTATAAGCCGATTTGAATGATAAAATAGGGTGCTGCTCTTGAAAGACCTTTTTATATCTTGAAGGATGGAAGAATGATGTAAAGGGAGCTACGGAGAAGCAAAGCAAACATTTTTTCAAAGTTTTCACCCCTCAAGAACAGTCGGAGGTTGTTTTAGCGGCAATGAATGGTCTTGTCCATAAGGCGACGAAGAAGTCAAGAAGGCTGTGCTTCCTCTATTGTGCATAATCTAATTTTTCTGTATTAGTCTCTATGTGCATGTGGAAAATGGATGTTCTGCTTGATGCCCATAAATTTGTTTCCCTAAACATTTATTCCTTGTAGCCTGCTAAGATCCTGAGCCCTTAGTTTTGGGGTTTTTCACTAGCAATCTAAAGTGTTCTTGTAATTTCTTTAGTCTGTTTGCCCTGACACAATCGGATTTACACCGTCGAGGCTGTGAAATGTTTAACCCTTACGCCTCCCGGCTTATACCTCCCAATGGTGCCTACATAACCTTTCAGATTATGTACGGTGCCTCGGAGTGCAGTCCCATCTTCAGCTGCACAAGCCCTGATGAGCCGACGGACCGGTGGATTCATACGGTTGGAACACCGCTAGATCACGTTGAGGTCGGTACGCACCTCAATATGTTTACTTTTGGAAACAGATTGTTTATTGCTTCGTCTACTGTGAACAAAAACCTCATGACCTAAGAGGTGTGCGCACTACACAAACAATAAAAGAAGACAAATTACTCTGGAATAGCTGGGAATAGCTTACGCTATTTACTTTCATTCGGATCTTCTACGTGGGCTATTTACCATTCCACAAAATGTCGTGCTGTGTCTAACTAAAAAGGACACGCATTAACGACAAAATATTGGACAGCTCGTCCAAGGCGTCAGAAGAATGACCCATTTCACCCAGGCGGAAGAGAACCAGGTGCCAGGTGAATTCACGAGTCTCGCACTTAAACAGCACCAGTGGAAAAGCATTCGGACTCGAAATACAGGGGCATGCCTCTTGTTATAAGAACAACATCACAAGATGAGAAAAAATACAAGCCAGGACGTATATAAACATTATTAACGAAAACTGCGCAGTGTCCAGCTAGTGTACCTAATAACTGAGATGGTTGTGTTGCCTCCTTTAGTTCTTATTTGTTCTATGCACCTTAGCCGTTACTCATATCGATTCAGTGTATTTCAAAACAACACATCAAGGGCATGGGGGGACAACGCTTTGAAACTCAAAGAGTAGCCAATCACGCGCAATCATTCCTTGAGAACAAAGGAAAAACAAAAGCACACAGAAGGACGAAGTTCATAACTCGCGGACAAACTTTAAAATCGCAAAACGCATTCGCCATCATCAAGTTTCTGCCATGTCGTGCGCATATTGGACGGCTTTGTGGACCATCTCATCAAGCGCTATTTTGAGAACAGCAGGTTCTACACCATTTATTTAATCCAAAATTAGGCACATTGGCCGGACAAATGTATAGCCACGGTAATTTAAGTATACATTTTCCATTTGAATTCCTGTATTTTTTTTTGTCAACTAATATATATGGGATGTAATCGTGACATTTCGATAATATCAGGGGCAGCTAAATTTCAAGGCAATTTTCCATTAAAATATTTTCCTTCAAATATAAATGGAAAATTGAGAGGCAATTTTGTTGGATACGTGAAACGTTCGAGCCCCACAAATATCTAGCGAAAGCTGCATCTCGTGGCTGCACCGAAATGCAATCGGGGTCACGTAATCTACATTTGCAGCTAAATTTGGCGGGAAAAATAAATATCTGTATTGGGCCCGTTACAAGACGTCACGTACCGCGAATTTCCCCGCTAAATTTAGTGAGGAAGCTTTTCAGCCCTTAAGACCCTTCATCCTTTCGGACACTCTGAGCCCTTCACCCCTTTAGACGCCCGAATGACTATGAACCACCCACCAAATATGCGGTTTAAAACGTTTAATTTTCTCTTAGATATTGAGCTTTACATAATAATATTAATAATAATAATAAAAATGATAGTAATAATACATTTTATTTCCACAAACATTCCAAACACAATACAAGATGCTAGCCTGCCCAAACCAAGTCAAATCAAATCAAATCAAAAGCTTTATTTTCCAGAAACACTGGAAGGAGTCCCAGACAAAAAGCTGTTGAGACAGCTTGACTGGGTCTGGGACCCTTATTACATGGCAGCAGCTTGGTAGTGCACAACACTCTCCTAGCGTAACATTTAAAAAAAAAAAAATTGGAACTTTGTAAACATTATAACACTAAATTAGGGAACAACGAAGATATAAGAGCGCAAGTCTCGTTTGCTAATCGTGTATATGTTTATGTTGTTTGTGAGGCATTTATTTAAAACAAGTGGTAGGTTGTAATGTAAAGTTTGAAAGTTGTAGTTCGTGCGGGAACAAGGGAGGACCCATGCTTCTCTGCGGCGTATGTTGACATCACTGCTATGCCTTACAAGCTCAGAAATAGTGAATAAGAAATAGTGAATAAGAGAGAGAGGCAAGGCCTGGCGAGTCGTGCGGCACAAGGAGGAAAAAAGGTAAGAACAGAAAAGAAAAGTCAAAAGGTAACAGAACTACCAATACTAGTCAAAATATCAAAGGAACCGATACGGCAATAATACTGTGATATATTTGTCAGAATTTTTTTTTTCAACTTTCTCCTAGTGTTTCCATTAAAGATGCCCTCGGGAAGCTTGTTAGGCACATGATATGAGCACACTCTTTTTCCATAGCGCGTAAAACATTGGGGGTCACCAGTCGCGCAGCGTAACTAAGACATCTACAAGGTATGTAAGGGCGCTTAAATTCGTTAGACCAAAGTGGCGGAGTACAACACTTTGCGCAAAAAGAGAAGATAAATTTGGCAATTGTTAAAATGGGAAGATATCCTCTTCAGATGAGGTCACCGAGTTGTACTCAGCGCTCTTTAATAAACCCTTCAAAATACGATAAACTTTAATGTACCTCAGCTCGGAGCAGCTTGCAAATATTATAATTCTATGCCTAATATGCTGTATCCAAGAGCGTCAACAAAAATTTTATTATAGCAAACGGCATATAGGTTCGAATATTAAACTTAATATAACTAACGCTTCGAAGTTTCCAACATACGCAAGATAAAGGCGAATTCCGCGACATGTCGGAGTAAAAATAAAATACGCTCCCAAATACTTTACACTATCAACATACTCTAAAATACTCTAACAGAATAATATTAATAGTTTACTTACCAGGTAAGTATGGTATGTGCTGAGGACAAAGAGCGGTTCGTGCAAGTTGGCCTGTCCTCAGCCCCCCTCAGGTACAAAGTAGGCTAAGAAAGGTAAAATGAAAAGAAAATTAGAAAATATGCAATTATAGAAGGTACTTCGATCGCAAAAGCAACAAAAAACCCCACAAAGAAACTTTACAACTGTGACGTTTGCCTGCAATAGGACAACGTGATCTGAAATCTGAACAAGCACAAAAAACAGAAACTTAAACAAAATTTAATTTAGCATATATCAGTAGCACGCATTAAGCTAAAATTGTATTGTACCTGAAAGTGTGTATATCAAGGTTGACAAGGTAATAGTTATTTAATAGCGAAAGCGATGACACTTGTACAATAGCTAAAGCTCTTTAGTCGCAATTGGGCCAGCATAAGTATACTATTTATATTAGCGTTTCTGGTTTATAGCGGTCATCATATGATATCTATTTATGTTGTGGGCTCGGGCCTCACGGGAACAATGAAATGGAATTGAGCTTTGTATTCCATACGGAGTGCTGTAGATGTGCCACATATATTTCTTATGCATTAAGTGAACACGCTGAAGGTCTCGAATTGTAGTCGTTTTTGCATTAGTTGACAAGAGTTTAAATTTGAGTAAAAAGTGAAGTACAAAGAAACAACTTAATTCTGACGAAAATAATTCCTGGTAAGGGGAACAAGAGGGACAAAAGACAAACACAAATCTCAAAGCACAGCTAGGTGACTGTTGCGCGACCAAAAAAATCCGCCTGGTCCGGGTATTGAACCCGAGACCTCTCATTACAGGTGGAGCGCTCTACCAATTGAACTAACCAGGGGTTAGGCGTCAGTAGAGCAAACGGGATATATCAGCTGCCACCAGTCTAACACCGATAGGGAGAAGCTTGCAATTTAAGGTTGTGATTATAATGCAATTAAATGCAAAGGTGCAAGCGAGCTGGACAGTAATCATGAAAATAATCCCCGGAGAAGGGGAACAAGAGGGACAAAGAGGGACACCAGTCACCTAGCTGTGTTTGGAGATTTGTGTTTGTCCTTTTTCCTCTCTTGTTCCCTCTTGTCTTGATGAAAAATCGCGCACAAAGAGACATGAAAGAAGAGGAAGGAACAGATAACACAGACATACGTGTTCTCACAACTCTGGTACATTATGTGAAGAAAGGAATGAAGAAAAGTTAATTCATCACGGGGGACACCGGCACCAGAGGGAATACAGTTCAGTCACAGACAAATGATAGCAAAAAGGCAACTTCTTTTTCACTCTGAGCCACCGACGGCTGACTAACGCAGTGATCGGTCAAACCCATAATGGAAAACGCCTCGAGCACTTCGCGTGTTTGTTTTTCTTTGAACCACCCAATGATTGAGTATTTTTTTTGTTTTTTTTTTCAAGATGCTGAATACATATTGCTCTTACACTGTACCAAAATGTGACCTTCTACAGTTCCTGCTCAAAAAAGATTGTGCTCTCGCAGCCGGTCATTTAGACACTGTCCAGTCTGTCCGACATAGCATCGTCTGCAGGACAGAGGAATGCTATGCTCCTTCCTCTTTTGTCATTGTCCCTTTGTGGGCGATTTTTCATCCTTTTAATTGTTTACCAACTCGCAGCTACCTCTTTACTACGCATTTTGCGATTCCGTTGAATTTCTCTCACATGGCAATGCTCAGAATATAATTTTCTTGAAAATATAAAGCAACCCATTGTAAGTATCATCCGGTCCCCCCATTAAACGCATTTATTCTGTTTCAAATTTTCTGCAGCGGCGCATCATGGAAAGAATAAAGGGTTTTCTCCGTAACTGATTGCTATAAAATTAGGGCGCTTGTTCGCTACTACCTGAGATCTTTCTACACAATGAATCACAGGGAGATGGTCATTAACGCAGCAGAATACAACTCCCGTCTCAGCATATGTCTGCAGGGAATTTGTAGTGAACACATCAAGGGCAGACTGGCATTCAGCTGTGCCCTACTCGGCACATAAATCATGTGGTAAAAACCTTAGATATGGTAACACTGTTAAATGTTTTGGCGAATTGGCCGTTGTTACTCATGTTGCTGTTGAAACCTCCTCCAGAAATTAAGCTTTCTTTTTCACCAACGAATGCCAAAAATCGATTGCGGAATTCTAAAACTGCCGGAATATCTCCATTAGGTGGTAGGTAACGAACAGAGAACACTGCAGTTTTTTAATACAAGGAAAGCATTCTATAGTTAGGCGTAATTACACTGTAACTATTAGGTAGCTGACTTTCAGCGTTGTCGCCTTGTAGCAATGCGATTACGCCGCCTCAGTTAACAAAATGATAAAATATTTAAATGAAAATAAAGTGA